GGCCGTATGGCCATGTTCCAGAACTCACAGCAACCCATTAGGTTTTATTAGCTATTCTTGTTTAGTAAGTATTATAATAGATTGTCCTTGAGTCCCCAAAGACAAAGCTCAATTGTAATTGTGCATATTAATCTTTAGATCTTTTTACATCAAACTATATATTTGAACCTAGTAATTTTAGCTATTGTCAAAGTGGTCCCTGGTCAAAAAAAGGTTGGGAACTACTGCTTTATACTCTTAGATGTCATATTCCAACACATTATTTCATACAAAAAATCACTTTAAATTTATATCCCAGAGTAAATTCCAAAGCATTTCACCACATTCTTTCCCGTGTCTCCACGTGTATGTTACGTCCAACATTTCTAGCCCATTTTATCATGCAATCCTTCACTTTTTCAACTTCCATCTTAAATCTTAATGAAAAGTTATACATTCTACCAATCATTCACACAGAGTTGAGCAGTGACTCCTAAAATTTGATTCTCCAGATGTAATAGGGCCCTTTCACACAGCTGTATATCCCAGAAAATCCCACAATACCTGCTTTGAACTGGATTATCTGGGCGTCCTTCACACTGCACTATATCCCAGAATATCAAGGCAGGAAATCCCACAATATCTGATTTGAACTGGGTTATTTGAGGCCCTTCCACACAGCCCCATATCCCAGAATATCAAGGCAGAAAATCCCACATTATCTGAGTGTGGACACTCAGTTCAAAGCAGATATTGTGGGATATTCCACCTTGATATTCTGGGATATAGGGATGAGTAGAAGGGCCCTGAATCCACACTGCCATCTATTCCAATTCAAAGCAGATAATGTGGAATTTTATTCAGCTGTGTGGAAGGGACTCCAGACTTCAGCTCACACCTATTGTTTGTTTTCTGGAATAACCTAACAATTATTCATCTATATGTTATGTAGTGCTGGTTAGGGTCTTACATTCAGAGCTCATTTTTCCTCCAACCTGCATACAATACTGTAAAAAAAGACCAATGATAGAGTTAAAAGGTGCACATAAACATAGCCATTTAATCAATTGTGCCTTTTATTTGGGTGGCTGAAAAAGATATTTGCATTAATCATTATCTCACATACATTCAAGTTAACAAATTAAAAACTATTAGACTGTAAAAAAATATTCTAATTACAAAAGTGTGAAGCACATGTAAACACTAATGCACACAAACCTGTTGGACTGGGACAGATGAATTATTTTAAGTACTTGGGCAAAACTTTGAGTCTATTTCTTCTTAATCAATAAACAAGGAAACCAAAAACCAGTTGATAAATATGTAGACAGGAAGGCATAAAATTGTGTGTCCATGCTCAGGAAAACAGGATTTAAGACAAAGGTGAAAGGTAGGGAACAACGCTTCCTCAGACTTAAAAGAATATAGGTTAAATCTAAGGAGATTAATGGATTTTGTTTATAAATGTAGTTAGCACCCATGTTGGAGATACAGATAGCTAGAAGAGCTTCCTCATTATAAAGAGGAAAGGCTTCACTATCTGAAATATCTTTTTATGTTAGATTGCCCGTTAAAAGAGAATCACTCTGAAAGTTAGGATCATCTTTGGCATAGTGAATCAATCTGATAAAGATTAAGAAAATTATAGGGTGATTTAATGAAATTTCTAACCTATTATGGACTTTTTGTAGAAAGTTAAGTATCTGTTTTGGTAAACTTTGCTTTTGATTATTACTCCTGTTACATGATTTCTGTAGAGAGCACAATAATGTAGAAGAAATAGATGAGAGAGGTATGAAATGATTATATGTTTAAATAGCAGCTGAAAAGAAGATGGGAAGCCTCTTTCCCTTTTCTTTCTCTTATTCTTTTGTACTGCCTGTCCTGTTTCTCACTTCCCCATTTTACTGTATGTTAATCCAGTTCAAAGGAGAAAATGTGGGATTTTATTCAGCTGTGTGGGAGGGGCCTCAACACCCGTGGTAAATGCTTACCCAGTCAAGGAGAACACTTTGGCTAAGAATAAAGTATGGAGTTTGCTGTGTTGCTGTGCCTTCAGATTGCCCAATGACTTATGACAACCCCATGGATTTCATAGGTATTCCCTCCTCTAATGGCCCATATTTCTTGGCAAGACTTATTCAGAAGAGGTTTCAATTGCCTTTCTTTAAAGCTGAGAGAATGTGACTTGATTCAAGATGACCTAGGGTGCATCCACACCAGGTATGAGCAAACTTCAGCCCTCCAGGTGTTTTGGAATTTAACTCTTGGGACCTTTCCAGACAGGCCCTTTATCCCATGATCTGATCCCAGGTTTTCTGTTTATCCCAGATTATGTGGCAGTGAGGACTCATATAATACAGTTTAATGCAGAAAACCTGGGATCAGATCCTAGGCTATAGGGCCTTTCTGGAGGAGCCCTAAAATAGAGCCTATAGCACTTAGTACAAGCTGAGCATCCCTTATTCAAAATCCCCCCAAATTTTCCACATTTTTTGTCGGAGTGGGGATGGTTTGAGAAAGTTACATCTTTGCTTTCTGATGGTTCAATATGCACAAACTTTATTTGATGCACCACATTATTTAAAATATCATTTGGAATAATCTTCAGGCCATGTTTATAATTATATAATTATATTAATAATATTATAAACATGACTAATCTTGTAATATAATATAATATATATATATTATATATACCACAACTTATGATATAGTAAAATATATTGTATAACAGTAATAGTATAACATACTGGTAGTGTATTATATATATTGTGGTATAATAATATAGTACAATATAATAATATATAACAATATAATTGTATATTATATATTACATGTAATATTACTAATAATATTGCAGTACAGTGGTATAGTACAATATAGTGATACATAATACTAATATTGTGCTGTGTAAATATTATTGTACATAATATTGATACTAATATTATAATGTAATACAATATAATACTAATACAATATGATAATCTATAATAATATGGTAATATAGTAATACTAATATATTAAATATAATTACTATTGATAATATATAATAATATATAATGATGCACTGTTTTATTATGGTATATTTGTATATTTTAATTTGTAATGTTTTTGATTGTGAGCCGCTTTGAGTCTCCATATGGAGAGATGAAGCGGGATATACATAAAATAAAAAAATGTTTATAATATGAATATGAAACATACATGAATTTCGTGTTTAGACTTGGGTCAAATCTCCAAGATTATGCATATATATATATACTTGGGCCGGAGTAGAGAAGGGGAGCCAAAGTAGAGAAGGGGAGTTCCCCCATGTCTCCTTAGAGACATTTTTTGACACATTTGTATTGACGTGGCTCAATGCTTAAGTTGGGAGCCCCTCCCCCAGCAGCAATATAGTAATACATAATACTAATATTGCGCTGTGCTAATATAATACATTTTATACACATATAATATTGGAAATAACATTATAATGTAATACAATATAATACTACTAATAATACAATATAATAATTTTATATTTTATATTACATGTAACATTACTAATAATATTACAGTATAATGGTATAGTACAATATAGTAATATATAATACTAATATTGTGCTGTGCTAAATAACATATTGCATACACATATAATATTGATAATAATATTATAATGTAATACAATATAATACTACTAATAAGACACTATAATAATTATATATATTATATTGCAAGTAATATTAATAATACTATTACAGTATAGTGGTATAGTACAATATAGTAATATATAATACTAATATTGTGCTGTGCTAATAACATAACAATATTATATTGTTATATTATGTAATACAATATAATACTAATAAGACACTACAATAATTATATATATTATATTGAATGTAATATTACTAATAATATTACAGTATAGTGGTATAGTACAATATAGTAATATATAATACTAATATTGTGCTGTAATAATAATATATTGTATACACATATAATATTGATAATAATATTATAATGTAATACAATATAATACTACTGCCAACCTAGCAGTTTGAAGGTAACGGCACTCCATGCAGTCATGCTGGCCACATAACTTTGGAGGTGTCTACTGACAACGCCGGCTTTTTGGCTTAGAAATAGAGATGAGCACCAACCCCCAGAGTCAGATACGACTGGACTTAATATCAGGGGAAAACCTTTACCTTTACCTTAATACACTATAATAATTACATATTTTATATTACATGTAATATTACTAATAATATTACAGTATTGTACAATATAGTAATATATAATACTAATATTGTGCTATGCTAATAATTTAATATATTATATGTACAAATAAACTGAAAGCCGCTCTGAGTCCCCTTTGGGGTGAGAGGGGTGGCATATAAATTTCGTAAATAAATAAATATGCATATATATATAAATATATATATATATATATGAAATCCAAAACACTTTTGGTGTCAAGGAGATAATAAGAGATACTAAACCTGTATTCACTGAATAAAATAGAATAAATTAGTTTTATTGTCATTTTCCTAATGAGGCCCCTTCCACACAGTCCTATATCCCAGAATATCAAGGCAGAAAATCCCACAATATCTGCTTTGAACTGGGTTTTCTTAGTCCAGACTCAGAAAATGTGGGATTTTCTGCCTTGATTCTGGGATAAAGGGCTGTGTGGAAGGGCCCTGAGAGTTCTCATTCAAAGACTAACCCTGCTGAGTTTCCTAGATCAGAAGGGATCTGGTGCTTGATTTAGGCTCCGAGTTTGAGTCTGGTTATTACTTACTTTAGTTAATGTTGGATGATTACAGGACTATTAGGAACCCAGTGGGCGATCTTGAGCAAATCATACACTCTCAGCCTCAGAGGAATGCAATGGCAAACCTCCTCTGAGTTATCTACAGAGCTCAGTGACAGGATCTATCTAAATGGAGTTGCCTTGAAGGCCCCTCAGTCCCTAGCACTGAGCCCTTGCTTCACAACCCCCAGGCGTGCTTCCCCCTTCGGCTCCCTACCTGCCCGAAGCGAGGCGCTGGAGAGGCGGCGGCGGCCCTCCTTGGAGTCTTGGCAGGACTGACTGGCTGAAGCGCCAGAGCCGAGAGTTCACCCCGTCTCCACGGCAACCACCGGGCCCGCCTCCGCTCCCCCCCCCCTCTCGCCTTAAACTCTGGAGGCGGCTCCGCACATGCCCCCCTCGAGGGGGAGGCCTTCCCAAGCTGGTGACGTCACCGCCAAAAGCGCCGACGGATTGGCGGAGCCGAGGCAGGATGAATCTCCATGGCAACAGGAGATGAGAGGGAGGGAGAAAGAAAGAGAGGGCGAGAGAGACTCGAAGGAAAACAGGAGTTTCCACAAAAAAATTGTAATTGTATCACAGCGTGGTCTAAAGCAGGCATCCTCAAACTGCGGCCCTCCAGCTGTTTGGGCTTCCAACTTCCAGAAGCCCTAGCCAGCTTATTCAATGGTCAGGAATTCTGGGAGTTGGAGGCCCACACAGCTGGAGGGCCCCAGTTTGAGGATGCCTGGCCCAGAGGTTTGAGGGCTGGACTATGGCTTGGAAGGCCAGAGTTCGAAACCCACCAGGGCAGGCATCCTCAAACTGTGGCCCTCCAGCTGTTTTGGCCTCCACCTCCCAGAAGCCCTAGCCAGCTTGTTCAATGGTCAGGAATTCTGGGAGTTGGAAGCCCAAACAGCTGGAGGGCTCCAGTTTGAGGATGCCTGGCCTAGAGGTTTGAGGGCTGGGCTATGGCTTGGAAGGCCAGGGTTCGAAACCCACCAGGGCAGGCATCCTCAAACTGTGGCCCTCCAGCTGTTTGGCCTCCACCTCCCAGAAGCCCTAGCCAGCTTGTTCAATGGTCAGGAATTCTGGGAGTTGGAAGCCCAAACAGCTGGAGGGCTCCAGTTTGAGGATGCCTGGCCTAGAGGTTTGAGGGCTGGGCTATGGCTTGGAAGGCCAGGGTTCGAAACCCACCAGGGCAGGCATCCTCAAACTGTGGCCCTCCAGCTGTTTGGGCCTCCACCTCCCAGAAGCCCTAGCCAGCTTGTTCAATGGTCAGGAATTCTGGGAGTTGGAAGCCCAAACAGCTGGAGGGCTCCAGTTTGAGGATGCCTGGCCTAGAGGTTTGAGGGCTGGACTATGGCTTGGAAGGCCAGGGTTCGAAACCCACCAGGGCAGGCATCCTCAAACTGTGGCCCTCCAGCTGTTTGGGCCTCCAACTCCCAGAAGCCCTAGCTAGCAGGCTTCTGTGAGTTGGTGGCCCAAACAGCTGGAGGGCCACGATTTGAGGATGCCTGGCCCAGAGGTTTGAGGGCTGGACTATGGCTCGGAAGGCCAGAGTTCAAGACCCACTAGGGCAGGCATCCTCAAACCACGGCCCTCCAGCTGTTTGGGCCTCCCAACTCCCAGAAGCCCTAGCTAGCTTGTTCAGTGGTCAGGAATTCTGGGAGTTGGAAGCCCAAACAGCTGGAGGGCTCCAGTTTGAGGATGCCTGGCCTAGAGGTTTGAGGGCTGGGCTATGGCTTGGAAGGCCAGGGTTCGAAACCACTAGGGCAGGCATCCTCAAACTGCATCCCTCCAGCTGTTTGGGCCTCCAACTCCCAGAAGCCCTAGCTAGCTTGTTCAATGGTCAAGAATTCTGGGAGTTGGAGGCCCAAACATCTGGAGGGCCCCAGTTTGAGGATGCCTGATATAAACAATACACATAAAACATAAAACCAAAACATAATAACAGAGAGCGGGCCGCATGTACATAAAATGATTTAAAAACTCCGGGTGCGATAAGAGGGTAAAACTAATTGTAGGGAGAATTCATGGAGAGACGGAATGATAAACAAACCTACATCCGGGGGCGGGGGGGGGGGCAAGCCCTAGCTAGCTTGTTCAATGTTCAGGAACTCTGGGAGTTCGAGGCCCAAACAGCTGGAGGGCCGCGGTATGAGGATGCCTGGCCTAGGACTATGGCTCAGAAGGCCAGGGTTCAAAACCCACTAGGGCAGGCATCCTCAAACTGTGGCCCTCCAGCTGTTTGGGCCTTCAATTCCCAGAATTCCTGACCATTGAACAAGCTCATTAAGGCTTCTGGGAGTTGGAGGCACAAACAGCTGGAGAGCCACAGTTGGAGAATACCTGCACTAGGGTATAGAATTATAATGCAGTTTTGACACATTTGAATTGGCGTGGCTCAATGCTTAAGGTGTTTCACCTTCTCTGCCAAATAATGCTGGTGCCTCATCAAACTACGATTCCCAGGATTCCACTCAGTCAGCCAGGGCAGGTAAAGTGATGTCAAACTGTGTTAATTGTATAGACTAGATGCATCTTGGTTCTCCCCAATAGGTTTAATACTTAACTTCTAGGAGTACTTAGGGAACAGTTCAGGGCCCTTCCACACAGCCCTATATCCCAGAATATCAAAGCAGAAAGTCCCACAATATCTGCTTTGAGCTGGGTTATCTGAGTCCACACTGCCATATATTCCAGTTCAAAGCAAATATTGTGGGATTTTCTGCCTTGATATTCTGGGATATAGGGCTGTGTGGAAGGGTTGTCAGTTAGCCCTTGAGCGCTCCAGCTGGAGGTCAGCTGTGACCAGCAGTGCTGTATAATTTGAAGAGGCACAAATGGAGGGTGAAAGAGAGAAACATGCCAAGAGGAAGGCTTGTCAAGCCAACCCCGACTGAGACCACCTTCCACCTGGAAACCAATGCCCTCACTGCAGGAGAAGATGCAGATCAAGAATAGGGCTCCACAGTCACCTACGGACCCACCAGCACACTGATCCTGGAAGACTCGGACAACGAGGGATCACCTAAGAGATATGCCAGTGTGGACTCAGATAACGCAGTTGAAAGCAGATATTGTGTAGTCTTCTGCTTTGATATTCTGGGTTGTATGGCGGTGTGGAAGGGCTCCCAGACAGTCCCTATATCTAGGATCTGATCCCAGGTTTTCTGATTTAAATTGGATTATACGAGTCCATACTGCCAGATAATTTGGGATAAACAGAAAACCTGGGATCAGATCCTGAGGTATAGGGCCTGCCTAGAAGGGTCCTGAGAATTGAATTCCAAACTACCTGGAGGGCCGAAGTTTGCTCATGTCTGGTGTAGATGCACCCTGGGTCACATTGAGTCAAGTCATACTGTCTCAGCCTCAATGAAGGGCAATGGGAAACCTCTTCTGTATAAGGGCCCTTCCACACGGCCCTATATCCTAGAATATCAGGGCAGAAAACCCCACATTTTCTGAGTGTGGACTCAGATAACCCAGTTCAAAGCAGATATTGTGGGATTTTCTGCCTTGATATTCTGGGATATAGGGCTGTGTGGAATGGTCCTAAGTCCTGCCAAGATGTATGTATTGTGTGTTGTGTTGCCATAGGTCAGAAACTATTTTAAGGCACTCAGCAAAACATGGCACCCCATCTTTAAAAGACAACAAGAGGAACATAGGGTATTCACAGTTTATTTTGCTTATTCCCAGGATAACTGGCAGCTTTCAAGAGTCAGTTCAGGTTGAGGTTCCCTTATGCAAAATTCCAAAATATTCCAAAATCCCAAACTGTCCATATGAGTGTCTTTGCTTTCTGATGGTTCAATGGACACAGAATTTATGTAATGGCCAACATTATTTCAAATATACACATACAGAATTATATTTAGGCTATGGTTTAAGGTATATTTATGAATTTCATATATATATATATATATATATATATATATATATATATATATATATATTGGATAAGATATATTCAACCTGTACATATTTACTATACAGCACTAATTAATTTATGATTTCGCTGTCATAACAAAAATTACCTATCTATGCCTGCTGCCTCATCAAACAAGGGCTGCTGACATTGGTACCTTTCAAACACAATTTCCCCAAATGATCGTTGCATATTTTAAACCTTCTCCAAAGATTTTTGTGATGCTCATATTTTGTTGTTGTTATTTATTCGTTCAGTTGCATCCAACTCTTCGTGACCTCATGGACCAGCCCACGCCAGAGCTCCTTGTGAGCCATAACCACCCCCAGCTCCTTCAAAGTCAAGGCAGTCACTTCAAGGATACCATCCATCCGTCTTGCTCTTGGTCTGCCCCTCTTTCTTTTTCCTTCCATTTCCCCCAGCAGCATTGTCTATCTTTTTCCAATGCCCTAACCACATGCGTAATGTTTCTAGTTTTCTGTCATTTTTCCCATTGCACATCTTATCTGTTTTTCAACTGCACAGTTTTCCTCTTCTACATATTTTGTATCCAACTGTGTGCCAAAAAAACAAAACACGTGAAAGGCTCAGCTGTTAAACAAACAAACAAAAAAGGAATATACAATCCCAGAAATCCCTGCCTTCTCACAAGTTGCTAACAGATGTGTTTGCTCAAATTCCAGGAAGGTCCTTCAGTTCACTCTGGATTTTTTTTACTGCTTCACATAAATTTGTGATTCCAAACATGGCAGTAAGTGTTAACTTTTATCCCCAGTCCTTTTGTGATGTGGGCGTGCACAAAGAAAGGGAGCCTACTTGATATGATATCTGCCTCATTACTGATCTTAATTCACTCAGCTGTGTGAAGGTATTTGTGATATCCCTTTACTGCTTTTGTGATGTATCACAGTGATTGTTTTCCACATATTAAGTTGTAACTGACTTGTTGTAGATTATATTTTTTTGCATCATGTTGCTATGTAATTGAATATGTAGTCTGTCCAAAAAGTAGTGAGAATTATTACAAAGATTATTGATTGTATAGGTAAAGGTAAAGGTTTTCCCCTGACATTAAGTCCAGTTGTGTCCAACTCTGAGGGTTTGTGCACATCTTCATTTCTAAGATGAAGAGCCGGCATTGTCCGTAGACACCTCCAAGGTCACGTGGCCAGCATGACTGCATGGACCGCCGTTACCTTCCCGCTGGAGTGGTACTTATTGATCTACTCACATTTGCATGTTTTCGAGCTGCTAGGTTGGTAGACGCTGGGGCTGACAGTAGGAGCTTACGCTACTCCCTGGATTCGAACCTTCAACCTTTCAGTCAGCAAATTCAGCAGCAATTGCAATTTATCCCATTCGCAGGAGACTCCTTGTGGTGTAATGTAGCGATTCCAGCACTGCTATGACTCTTCATAGTAGTGGAGGAAATCTTCACTT